ACTATTCTACGGTGCAACAAATGGCGTATAAGTGTACATCATCACAAATCTACACCAGAAAAGACTACATGTGAGACACCAAGACCATTAAATATAGGAAGTTACTCAGTAATTCAACTGTGGCAGGATAAGGAAGAACTCTACATCAAACCTGACATCCACTGCTGATTAAAGAACACCAGTTTGATGAGTATGCTCTAAGAATTGCATCTGATTTGAAACCTTTTTCAAAAATTTGATGTTAACAATATAAATCCTTTTTTGCCATTCAGTGCTGGAAGATCAAAGCAACGTCTTCACAACCACAAAAAATTTATGAAAACCAACCCTTCAGCAAAGAAAAGAAGATGCATGCTAGCTGTAGACAGCATAAATGGAAAGCTTTCCCATGTGGAAGCAGGAACCACAAAGGGAAAAGAAAAGGTTTTCTCAACCTCCAGCACCTTCCCCCAAAAAGAAATTAAGAAAAATAAAGGGGAACACACAGATGCAAGAGAAAACAAGGATCGGACCAAGAATGAATTTTTCCAATCAGGACAGTACAGAATTCAAGTGAGCAGCAGCCTCGAACAGCAATTTTGAGGGAAAACCATCCTTAAGGTTATTGAAATGAACATAATAAGTGAATCCAGAACTCAACGAACAGGATATAACAGTTGCTGAAATCTGCCGCGTATTTTAACAGGAATGCAACTCTTCCTTCGGTATAGTTTTGCAGAAAACAAGAGCTATAAAGGAATTGCACAGGGCTTGCCGCAATTCAAAAAGCTAATTTTATTAAGCATAAATGTAGCCCAATAGCAAAAGCAAGCCAACCATCAAGTATCGGATAATTATTAGCCAGGTAGCCTGCCAAAAGTTTAACATTATTAATATTGCAAGAATCAAAAATTAAAAATGAGTTGAAGTTTTGGGTAAGGTTCAAATACAGAAAATAAACAATTACCCCGTCCTCAATCATAAAAAACCGAGTTTATAGGAGAAGACAAGTAGTCTGACTTCTAAGCTAGAATCTATGTTTCAATTCCATGAGCTCACCTGATGGTGGGGCCACATTTTACTATCACCAATTCCAAGTTCTCATCATCATTCCTCATTCACATATAACTCCATAAAGACACTGAGATGAATAGGGCCAATGCGAGAGAATACGAATCCAGCAGCAGTTAATTGTAGTGTAAGCAAGAAAGGAGACAACCAGTTGGAATAATAGCATTCAAAAGTCTAAGATCAGATTCGAATCCGCACATCAAACAAGCACAGGACCCCAAAGGACCAAACCATAGAACATTTTAGTAACACGATATACGTAAACTATTAGTGCCGAGTTTCACACTTTCAACAATGATCCATTTAGCCAACATGCCAACAAGAGAGAAACCATGTAATACTTGCATCCAGGAGCACTAGGACTTCAATGTCTTCAGCTGTCACAAATATGAACACAAACCCATCAGTTACACTATAGACTGAAGATTGGAAAAAGAAATTTTCAGTGACTTGTTGCATACCATAAGGTCAGACGTCAAACTACCCAGATCGGAAACCCCCAGATCCTCGGCGATCATAAGGTCCAGAGCGGTCACGACTATATCGATCACCTCCCCCATGGCCACCAGAATCCCTGCTACGGCCTCCATATCGATCTCCATTACGGTCAGGACCATAACCACTGCCACCCCTCCCACCACCGCTGCCACCATACCTATCATCCCTGCTCCCATACCTACTGCCTTTAGACCCTTCATCAGGGCATTCTCTAGCAAAGTGTCCAGGTTTACCACACTTAAAGCACCCTTCTCCGCCAGATCCCCGCCCACTTCCATACTCACGATCACGACCTCGACCACGTTCACGGTCACGTGAGCGATCATTGTCATAATCTCTACCTGAACCCTGGTTCGGACGTGCTTTATCAACAGTAATGGTTCGGCCGTCTAAATCAATTCCATTCATGGCTTCAATGGCCTCTTCCATTGCATTCTTGTCCTCAAAGGAGACAAATCCAAAGCCACGAGAGCGTCCAGAGAACTTGTCAACAGCCACCTACATATACATACAAGCACTTTCATGTAAGAGTCCATTTTCCTATAATATAAATGAAGTTGTGAAATAATTTCAAACATAACATAAAATCATAATTCATAATTCATAACTACAGAACAGTAGAGACAGGTCTTGCACAATAGCGCCATCCTATGTCAGTAATCTTAGCAATTGAGTCTAAAAATAGTTTCTCAAGAATTCAACTTAAATACTCTCTTTCATCCCAATTACCAAAAAGAAAAAGAAAATAATACGTCCACTCCTGGTCATGTAGAGAAGGGAGATAAAAGATACTAAACAGTCTACATGCAACTTACTAAAACTACAACAATCAATTAGATGGCCTGAATACATAAAATGCTCATAGTCTGTGAGGCTCAGTAAGCTACTCCCAGCTATCTCACCGCCAATTTCCTTTTTATCTATATTTTTTTAGAGGGCAGGTCCAGGAGATAGCCATGCTTTATTACCTCTACAAATCATCAAAGAATGGTCTCAAGCAACATGTTTGTACTTTCATCAAACCAGAAATAACAATAACAAACGGATATTGATGTGAATGGTATAGTAAGATTTCTATAATTCTAAAAAATGAGACAAAAGCCTATAACAAAGTAGCAAAAACTTCAAAGTCAAGTATCTACTGTAAAACAGATTAAACTTGCAACATGATGAACAGGGCCTGATGTAACCAATTATCTATGATAAGATGAAAAAAGCTTTAGGAAAAATCAAAAAATTCAAAATAAAATCAAATAATTTATTACCTTTGCATCAAGAAGATGGCCAAACTTTTCAAATGCCTTTTTTAGATCTCGATCTGAGGTTGACCATGAGAGGCCACCAATGAAACAGCGATATTCAACTTCATCTGACATGATTCAAACTGTTTCTTTTCCAAAAAGAAAAGAGGTAATACAAACATGATTCAAACAGATTCACTCAGAACTGTTATTAGCAAAAACTGATACAAAATGCACTGCAATTGGACAACGGCGAGCTATGTTATCAAGTACGGAGTTATTCAGAAGCATTTTTGCTCAATGTGCAAATCATTCTCATTTAACTCTATCTTAGTGGGGGTCGTTACTGAATTCAAAGTTTTTACAGGCTTGCTCGCCTCTTAGACTCCTGCTGACTTCCGTCCTTTCTATGGATATAAATAAGCAACAATAGAAGGAATGCATCTATCATCTACTCTCTGACTGTATTAATATCTCTACATCACACAGAAATAGTTATAAACCTGTAATATTAGAAACTGAAAATCGAATGCAACCCAATCACTTTCCCTCTTTCATGAGACAAAAAAGATTGCTGCGTATGATTTCATAATTTGTTCAATAATGAGCTCCTTCCAGAAAAATCTTACACAGGTCTATATGAATCTGATTAATACTTCTCTTCTCGTGCCTTCTATCTTCTTGACAGAATTCAGGTTTCTTGACACCAACATCTCCAATTCAATACCGAGTACCATAACAAAGCAGTTTGTAACTAATTTTACATCATACACCAACAATAATATGATGTGATTTATTTTAGATCATATACCAAAAATATTTTTTTTTTTTCAAATACAGGAGGTTAGCATGGTGCCTTCTTACTTTCTAAATACACCAGTTATTCATCAATAAAATATATTCGGTAACTAATTCATGGGCATGTACAAATTTTACATGTGATGCTGTGTATAACGTAAACCCTAAGTTCCTCATAAATAACCATCAATAGAATAATTACAAGCAAAAACCACCATAGATGTAGATTAATATGCGATTTTAGAATTATATTCTGAAAGGGTAAAACTTGTTTGTACCTGCAAAAGCCGGATCAAAACTAGGCGAAAATTTCCCCAAATTTCTGCGTAGCTTTAGAAGAAGAAAACGATTCGCACAAAGTCTAGGTTACACTGCGGATGACTTCACTTTTCGGATATTTATCTACAAGAGATATTTAATAAATTGTCACCAAACTTAAGGCATTGTGCAAAAACAGTCCCTGCTTTTTCCTTCTTTGCTATACTGATACGTTGATTTAACTCTTTTAACTTAAAAAAGTTAGGGTGTATTTGATAGGGAGCCAATTTCCATTTTCCCACTTTTCCTCACACACTCACATTTTCTTGATTTTCCTTGAAATCATTTTCCCATCACTTGGTGGGAAAATGGTTTTCCATGTTTTTTT